CGATTCACAGTGAGGCATGGTACACCGAATCCAACTGTTTTTAGAAAGGATAAAGTAACATACATATAAAGCATTTCACCACAGTCAATTAAAGATAAAATTATTCTTTGGACAGTTTTTGAAAAGACAAAAGAAAAACAGCATCTATTTTGATAGAGGAACCCCAGTTTTACACTCAGACTCAATCTCAATCAATTAAACGAAGCATAGCGTTAGTTCTGGCAGGTTACGACGTCAAGCACTGATCCGCATTTAATGGCAAGTAGCCACCTCAACCAGCTAATGGCCTAGCTATTTCCTCCTAGCTCCTATTGGTCCTAAGCTTTTAGAGCGCCCCTATTTAAAACTGCCCTAACCCAGCCTCTCCCTCTGCTTCGACAGCCAACCAGCAACCTACCTCCACCCCAGCTCTACCCTTGTGCCGGCCAAACTGCTCCACTACCCTTGAAGCACTCCTCTTCTGGGTTCTGTTCATCGCTGCTCTAACCCCCGTTGTTTCTACCTTCATGATTCCTCATGAAGGGCGGGAAGGTGCTCTTCCTGCTGCTGGCCTCTCACGCATGCTTGTGGAGAACGGGGGGTCCCCTGAACAGATTCTTGCATGCGCTCCCTGCTATCGCCTTTTCATGATGACTCGTGAAGGGCAGGAAGGGGCTCTTCTGCCTCTGGCTTCCCCGCAAGCGCGTGGAAGGGCAGGGACCCAGAACAGAACTATGCCACCAGATTTAACTTTGCACGATAAAGTTCAATTTTGACAAAGTGATCCTGACTGAACTTAATTTATACGGCACCGATTCACGTCAAGTGTTATCCCAAGATGCTTGTTGTTGGTCTAGATAGTACTCTGTTTACAAAGGCCCAATTTAAAAATGGGATCTGATTGAACTCCATCTAGTAATCAGACCTACTCCCATCCCATCTTCAACCACATGAGTGAAACACTTGACAGCTTCTAGCAAGTTACAGAGGAGAGGAGAAACTTCCTTTAACAGGCAGAAACCTTGAGCGGAACCAGACTCATGTTAAGACAGTCATCTGTTGAGACTGAGCCGGGTTTAGGGAGGTAATAGAGGGAGATGACGAAAGAGAGAGATGGACAGAGGAGAGACTGAAGCATGCTGTTAAAGCAGCAGAAAGGCAGGCAGGCATAGCTACAAGAAAAATCTGCGATTTTTGTCCTCATGTGAATAAGATCTGTCAAATCGTTTTAAAAATGGTGCAAATATTACCAAAACAAACAAGTGAAGGAAGTGCTGGCTAAAGAAGACAGTTCAAGTAGTAGTCCTCTGCCCACTAACCATGCCAAATTAAAAGTCCTGTTAACGTCCTCCAGAACTCTGAATAAAAACTGCCACACTTTATTGAGATGTCAAGCACAGCTCCAAATGCTCCTTCAGCTTTAGTGCAGCTGCAAATGTTGCAGTTAAAAATAAAATGTGGCACTTTTTGGGACGTTTCCCTCTCTCCCTGAGTTCTCAAAAGGTGTTTTGTATTCTCTGCCTCACTGCTTTCTGCCACTTTGTTCACTCCGGCTGGCTGAGAGCCATGTCCTATGAATGCAGCTCCAGCCTGATAATCAGACTTGACACTGAGCTGATGTGAAGCTCCGTGAGGTTGAGGAGCTCTTACAGTATAACTCAGGTCTAAGGAGAGTTGAAAGTTTTTTTTACCTTTCATTTCCTTTCAAACTGCTCTCTGGAGGATTAGATTCACCCTGCTGTGTCATTTCTCTTTTCACCCCGGCACCTGTTCCCCAAACTAACAAGCAGCAACCTATGCAGGTTGACTCCAAATGAGCAGAGCTGTTCAAGCTACAACTCTGCTTTCAAAAGGTGAGAGGAACTTCCGCTTCTTGGAAATTTATGAATAAAAAATAAACATAGTTTTAAGAAAGGTTGTATGTTCTTTGGGTATGATAGTCAAGACTAGGGCTGAAACGATTACTCGAGTAACTCGAGTAACTCGATTAATAAAATTCCTCGAGGCAAATTATATGCCTCGAGGAATCGTTTAAATCCGGAACCATGTGCAGCGCACGGTGTTTGACACGGACGGTTATTTCTGTTGCGCAGCAGCGTGCTCTTTCCGCTCCTTCCGCTGCCGCGCGTTTCATACACAGACATAATAAAAGATAGACCCCGCATCGGCCACTACCACGAATGGGCGCTGTCGAGAAATGCGGCCGCCATCTTGGTCCGGTCATCCGCCTCACTCTGCACCGCTGTTTAACCGGCGGAATGAAGTCTGAGCGCATTAAATGAATCATAGTTCGCTCAATACTACGGGTCTATCCTTTTATTATGTCTATGGTTTCATAGACATAATAAAAGGGTAGACCCCGCTGGGGGCGCTGCGCAGCGAGAAATGCGGCCGCCATCTTGGTTAGGTCAAGCTTCCCATACGCTCCGGTCAATCATATTCATTCATTCAGCGATGCCGGAGCACTGTGCGGCGTATTCCTGTGCCAACAGGCGGACAGCAGAGAACAGGGCTCAAGAAATAACTTTTCACAGTTATGATTAAACGTTTTTTAAACATTGCACTTGACTGTAGAGTCATTTGTAGGCCAAAGAGGAAGACTATCGGTCAACTCCAAAAAGGAAACAGCATTTGCGAACAGCTAGCTTATTCACAATAATAGCAACTTTGGTCGATTATCAACAGATTTGCATTAGATTGAAAAACTTTTGTTTGAGAGAGGTTCTAAGAAACGTTAAGAAATAAAATAGAAAGAAAAAGGAAGAAAGTGAGCTCTGTTTTATTATCTGTTTTATTAAAGATTTCTTTGTGGTGATCTCCTGTTTCATTTTGAAGATTTCCTAAGGACAAAAACTTGAGGAAGAAGTGGGAGATTGCTGTTAGAGGGAGAAATTCGCAGCAAGTGATTCCTCTGTGCTGTGTAGCCAACAAGCAAATTGATATGTAGTTTAGATGCTGTCCTGTCATGCTGTTCTTGTGTTTAAATCTTTTTGATATGTAGGCTATATATTTGTGTGTATTTTCCAGTCATTAAAATAGTGCTTCTATATGACATTATTTGTGTGTGTCTACAAATGGATAAATAAAATTATACTATATAAAAAATTATAATCAAATCAATATATATTGAAGTTGCCTATTAATACCGCCAGTTATTAATAATTATTGAGACATAGCAGGAACCTAGCTCTAAACCTAAATATATCCTTGATTAATTGTTATACTATAATACAGCCACTGCTGCCATGTTCTAAAATATCATTTTATTCATTCTGAGTATTTGAAAACGCCAAAAAAAAATATGGCCTCTATCATGCCTCTTTGAATGGCGTTTGCAGAGAAGAAAATTACGTAGTATTGAGCGAACTATGATTCATTAATGCGCTCAGACTTCATTCCGCCGGTTAAACAGCGGTGCAGAGTGAGGCGGATGACCGGACCAAGATGGCGGCCGCATTTCTCGACAGCGCCCATTCGTGGTAGCGGCCGATGCGGGGTCTATCTTTTATTATGTCTATGGCGCGTTTGGTTCAATCATGGAGGGAAACGAGGACAGACAGAGAGAGGAAGAAAGAGATGACACGCAGAGGAAACGGCAGAAAGTGTCTAAAGTGTGGGACCATTACACACTGAAAAGGAAAGAAAATGCCGTGCAGTGCGTTCACTGTAAGGCGGAGTTGGCGTTTCACAACAGCACGTCGTCAATGCTGCAGCACCTTAAAAGAAAACACCCGGTCCATGCATTAAGTCCGCTCTGAGGCAAACGTGATTCAATGCAAAGTATTACAGTGAGAGCAAAACATTTCTTATCCGATTACTCGATTAATCGACAGATTAATCGATAGAGTACTCGATTACTAAAATAATCGATAGCTGCAGCCCTAGTCAAGACTGTAAGATAAATCCAGACTTATTTTAGTTAAAGCTTCTGTAAGGAGTGTTAAAGGGATATTTCGGCGTAAAATTAAGTTAGGGTCAAACACACCATAACACAGAATAAGACACCCCGTCGAGAGATGAGTGTTGCCGACAGATTGCTTCACTAGTTATACCAACTTTTGTAACGACCGCATAATAGCAATACACAGTGGTCCATGGAGCCACATGCTTAACAAAAACGCCACTCTATAGCCACAAATCATGCTCAGAACAGAACTTACCTTCATCAACAGTACATATAGGGTCCCAGCCATCGTACTAGCCATCAAACATCTTTTTAGCTTTGCCTGATTAGCAAAGAGACTAAACACAACTCATCCACTCTCTTCCAGCAGCCGCTTGTTTGTAGGGAGACCTCAGCGAGTCCATCGACTGCAGCAGGGGTGATGCAGCTCAAGGAAGAACATTCATGATTATTACTTTATCATTTATCATCATTTATCTTTATCATTATATACCATGTTAATCATTTTGCACTGCAGATGCGGTAGTTCCTCTGCCTAAGCGTCTGCAGCGTCAGTCTGATTACATTTCCATAAAAAAATGATCATATATGTTCTTCTTTGATCTGCGTACCCCTGCTGTAGTTGATGGACTCGCCCAAGGTCTCCGTATAAACAAGCAGCTATTGGAAGAGAGTAGGTGAGTTGTGTTTAGTCTCTTTGCTACAGAAATTAGGCAAAGCTAAAAAGATGTTTGGTGGCTAGTACTATGGCTGGGACCCTATATGTACTGTTGATGAAGTTAGATGCTGTTCTGAGCATCATTTGTGGCTATAGAGTGGCTTTTTGGTTGAGTGCGTGGCTACTGAGACCACTGTGTATTACTATCCTGCGGTCGTTGCTAAAATTGGTATAACTAGAGAAGCAAGCGGTCAGCAATATTCATCTCTCAACAGGGTGTCTAACTTGGTGTTACAGTGTGTTTGACCCTAGCTTAATTTTGAGCTGGAATATCCCTTTATGGTGCTAATAAATGAACAATGAACGAGTTCGTTTTAGCATGGTTATGTAAAACATTGGTTCTTCAATCCAGCAGAGGGCACTGTCATCATAACCTGACCATTGCATGGCACTCTTAACCTCAGGAAATGTATACAGTGATGATTCTGTGCAAAAATGGAGGACATGTGCCGCAATCAAAGATGTAGTGAGTCAATAGTTGTGACACCCAAACTTTCTTGTGAAAGTTTTTAAGGTTCTACACCACAGATAGAAATATAAAAGAGAAAGATAGGACTGCAAGTCAACTTTGCACAAAGCAGCTGCCTTACTCTACAGCAAAAGCAATCTGTTGGCCCGCCTGTGTGCCGGCAGATCATCCAACGCAGTGGAGCATGCATGGAGTTAGCATTAGCGTATGATATATGTACTAATTTTTTGAAAAAGTAGCAGCCCTAATGTATGCCAGTGCCAAAGCTACAACCAGCTAGCAAGTGATGTCAATTGAACATTTGAAGTTTTCTGTTTCTTTGCAGCTAGTCAGTTCACTCAAAGTCTTGATTTACCGTAGTTTAGAAATATGTCAGAGAGCATATTTGACAAAACCTTTTACTGTTTTGATCAACTCTAAATCATCACAGATGAATGTGCAGTGCAAAGCCAAGTGAATGGATGTGTGCAGGACTTCCAGAGCACCTATTACCACAGGCACAGTTAAAGGGCTGTTGTAAAATTCTTATGTGTTTGTGTGCTCATCATATTTTTATATGGAGTCAAAGACATAAAATATAAATTTAGGGGTGAAAGAAGGCGAATTTTATTTTGTTACATGGAGTAAGAATCATTCCTCTCTAGCACAGCTTCACTCTGTGTGTAATGCACTTTCCCTATAGCTCTAAATCAGCAGGGACAGCACAGCAGCAGCAGCAGCAGCAGTGTTGTTGGAGAGTCTAGGCCAGGTTATCCAGCTATGGTATCACACAGGTAAAAGGGCTGCCTGTGTAACAAGAGTGCAACAAGTTGCAACTGTTAACTGTTGCCTGTAAAATGGTAAATGTGCTGTTTTTGTGCAAGACTCACTCATTTATGTCACATCCACACCACATTCAGCCACTAATGGCAAGGACTGCTTAACTCATCCCGTTTACACACTGCAGCTGGAGCCACCAGAGGCAGTTTGGGTCTTGAATCAGGACACTTCATCATGCGGGACCAGGAGCTGAATGAACTTTTAGGATTGACTCTACTACCGAGCTACAGCTGCCCCAACCTCAATTTGATTTTGACTAAAAACCCCAAACGTAAAGACCAAAATGAGTCTGAAATATTTTGAGTTTTCATCAGCTAATACAGACTAGACCATGACTAATGCTAAGAAGAATTTTGGACTTCTTCTGATATAGCTGCCAAATGTATCTATAACATCGTCACCCCCACTGTGAAGATGCTGAAGGTGACAGTACTCACTAAGTGCTGCTGATGATGTGGTTTCTGTTTCTGATGACTCACCCACTTTTTACCACTGTGGGTGTGTATCACCGTCAAACAGAAACACACCGGATGTGTTGTAGACAGGCAGTTTTATAGCGATAAAACACCTGTTTTTATTCTATGCATAGTGTCGGGAGAAATGATTGGGAAAAAAAGGCAACAGACTGATAAGGCAGATGACAAAATGACAGAGCAGTTATTGTCACAGTGAGTTAGACTGCAGGCCACATAATCCATTTCACTGGTGACAGACAGATCAAATGAGCGAGAGCAAACAGGGTGGGGTGAGTAATCAGTCTAATACTCACCGGCTGGGGGCAAACGCTCCTCTTTGGGCCCCTTTGCAGTGATGGAGGGACTTAATAAGGCAAAAGTGTCACCATCTCCACCTCCTGTTAGCACTCTCATCACCATCACTCCTTCTTCATCACCATTTCTCCTGCTGTCATGGAGACTAATTGCCGTCATACCTCTGGCAGCGAAAGCGTTGTTACATTCCCTCATGATCCAGAAACCCTGGGGCAGGAAGGGTAAAAAATGACCACTCAACATACATTACAACATGCTGACATGCTTGGAGGGGATGCTCTGATTAACAACGAGGGCAGCTGATTCTCACACACCAGGCTGCACAGATTATACAGAGAAATGTACAAACACCACTGGCAAAACACAACAGCACGCAACACAGCCGCTTGCCAACTTCATTAGCATAATATGCAGACAGAAATGTACAGACATCTCACACTGTAGGTCCGGAGCAAAACAAGATCAAACTATAATTAAATCTGTTATAAATACACAAGCTGAGGATACAAACTGATGAAGATGCTACAAGGGACACTAAAACTACCACAGGAGCTAGCACCAAAGCTAGGCTACAGTCTTCTGCAGGGGGGCTGATTCTAGTGTGCAATCAAGCTAATTTGGAAAGACCCAATTATTCATCTCGCTGTTGTAGTTTTTGCCTTGTTGTTGTGTATCACAAAGTATTTTCTGCATTTTTGCCCTTGTGCTGCTTCCCCCTGTGTGTGTATTGTTGTTCCTGTGGTCCTTGTGTTTCACTGTTTTCGCTTAGTTCACCTGTCAGTCTCTCTTGTGATTGTGTGCCCTCATTGTCTGCACCTGTGCCTTGTTGCCTCACCTGTCTATCATTGCTTGGTACTTTGTGTGCATTCATTCTCTGTGTTGCCTGAGGTGACCAGCTTTCTGAAATGAAATCTGAGGACATTTCAAGCTCAGAGATAAAAACAGAATTAAATGTGAGAGACAACATCTCAGGCCACACTGTGAAGTCATATTTCAGCAAATGTTAATGCGGGGCTTATTGAAATGAAGCTAGTAGCAGACTAGCAATGTTGGTAACATTGACATCATATATCACAATTTTAACTGATCTGCGTATGTTAGCTGTATGTACTGTTTTGTTAACCCTGGACGTGTCACTGAGAACATTACCTCTATAGATTCCAGCTGTCAGTGTCGGTATAGCAACAGATGCTATATCAGCTGTTTCAGAACCTGCGCTGCAATTTAAATAAGTCTAATTAATGGAACATTAATCCTCCGTTTCACAGGCAATGTATGTCGCCTTATGTGTGTGTGTGTGTGTGTGTGTGTGTGTGTGTGTGTGTGTGTGTGTGTGTGTGTGTGTGTGTGTGTGTGTGTGTGGGAATGTGTTCATATGGCATTTTTCTGATGCTACAGGACATATCATGAGAAAAATACATGTGAAATTGCATATCTTTATTATTTCTGCTTTCAAATCGCTGTGAATCTCTGGCAGACCCAAACCGCAGGCTCAGGTACAGTGAGATTTCCTATGTAGCAAATCCAAGCTCCGCCCCTGGAGCCCTGCTATGCGGGCCAGACTTGGAAAAGTACAGAGGATGATCGTAGAACAAGCATGTGCGTTAGCGGATTGAAACGCTCGTAAGAAAGGCAATTATAATACTAACTTTCATCACGTCCCAAGAGACATAAATATCCGATAGCTGAATAGCCCCCATGTTACCTGCCACTTCTACTACACCAGCAATGTTAGGCTGCAAGCTAGCGTCAAGAAGAGTGTGCAGATCATCACTGTCTCTGCCCACGACTCAGAGGTGATTTGATTAAGATCTACTGGAGCTCTGCAGAAGGAAATTACACAGGTATCAAGATTTTAGCTAAAAACTTCATAATCACAATTTAAAGACCACTGATAACACTTTAAGTGAAAAAAAAAACAAAAAACGATTGGAGTGGGACTTTAAGCATAAAGTGTTAAACAACATGCAAAACTGAGAAGCAAAAATTGTCAAAATTCAATGACTCGTGCAGGGAAGACAAATATAGCTGATCATGCTGCATGAGGAAAAGCACATCTGTTTTGCATCTGCAGAAACTGCAAAACAAAAAGGGCTTTCTGATAGCAAAGTTAAGCTTGATATTGATCAGAGAAGTGTACACTTTTAAATCAACATGAGTCTGAGCCATCCAAAACTGGCTAAATAGCTTGTTTGCAGTAAACTGTAGCCTAGCTCATGTAGCAGCTTCTAATTAATGGGGCAGAGCTGAGCAGCATTCATTGTTGTATATATACTTTTTTTTACATTTTACTCGTTATCGCTTTAACTCTGATTTCCTGTTGTCTAACAATGTACAGTGCTTTTCCACATCAAAAATGACCCAGGTGGAACCTGTTTAGCCAGAAAAGTGAACGTTAAGATTCACTTATTGTGCAAAGGTCAGTTATGCAATAATCTGTATTTACAAATTCAACATAAATCTGTAAGGATTTATCTGCATTTTAGTTTGACAGTGGGGCTGGAACAAGAGACCGTGCCAAAAGATCTCATTAAACTGAATACTGAGGTGATAAACTGTCTCTCAAGATCAGCACACAACATTGAATTTTCCTCAACAACCAGGAGGAGAGTGTCTTGTTTACGCTAAGGGCAAGGGCATCTCAATCAATAGCAGAGGTAGAGGATTTAAATGTAATATGCTGATCTTTGGATGCACTGCAGCTCATTTGGTACACTGACAGACCTCATAGTTACACAGAGCACCGTTAGACTCCAGTTTTCTTTCACTTTTGCACTTACAGCCACGTTCACATTCGTCTTGTTGTCTGTCTCTCTGTCAGGTTATCACTTTCCTCATACAATGAATCCTTGATAGTTGGTGTGCTGCCAAAAAGATCATACATGCATACAAGTTCTGTAGATGCATACATGTTGATTTTCAAAAACAGCACAAAGTAGAAACTTGTCACTCCCTCCAGAAGTCACTGACTAACATAGATGCTGTTTCAGTTTTTGACAGCAAATTGTCAAACCAAATTAAGTTTCATCTCTGCAAGCGCAACCATAGGTAAAAGTCTGAAGTTCTCCATGTACACACTCCCCTCAAAGTTTAGGGAAAACAGACAAACATATAAAACTGCAAGAAAAATACTGTACTTTAACTTTTTTTCTATTGTTCCTTTTGTTTTTGTTTTAAACAATGAAACCATTAGCTGTCACGTACTGAATCATTCAAGATGGAACAATGCACAGCCTTAATGGAAGAGTTGCACAACTGACTGACCACAGCCTGCACTTAATAAGATTCAGTCTGACTCCAGTTAAAGTAATGCTGATGTAAGAGGTGACCGCTGATGATCAATGCTCGGATTATGTTCCTCTAATTTTGCTAAAGATATCACTCTATCAAGATCTTGTTTTGATACCTGGGCATGAGTATACTGAGTATTTGGTTACCTGTGACGTGATGTGGGTGAGAACCTGAGATTGTGAGAAGAGTCAGAGTGGATTGAGTTCCAAAATGCTCTGCTACGGTTTCCTTTAGACAAAACTCTTTGGATCAAATAAGGACACCACATCACCTATCTACATTTGAGGAGGTGTATATCATCTCGGAGGGGGGACAGACATAATTCCAGCCAAAGATCCTAGGTTAAAAAGTACATGTAGAAACTATCTAGAGTGTGCAGCTTAAGAGCTTGACATTTTGATGTGCAAAAGTCTCATTTAAAGCACCTTCATGAATAAAAGAACTGCCTAATCTCGCTTATGTGATTTTTCATGATCTGGAATTAAGCTTTAGATCACAGAAATCTTAAATGTGATGAGCAGCTCAGGACTATGTTCCCAGATTTGCTTCTTTTTCAGCCCTGAACCCTTCAGAGTGATATATCACTTAGTGTTTTATCAGTCTGTAACTACAGAGACTTCTTCACATTTTTATCTCCTCTGTCGGTGAGAGCAGCTCCTTTTACTTGAGCCTAAGACTCCTCATGTGGAGGCTTGTTTAAAATTCAGCAGCAAAGCTTTCAGCCAAAAACTGAGGTCCAAACTAATTATTATTATTCCATTCATACAATTGTACCTGATAGAAAAGCAAGATATTAAAGCTCCTGTCATTTATTTATTAGCAAACCTGCATAGACCTACACAGTTAAAGGCAGTATCCCAATCCATCATTACACACAAAGAAGAGGAACATGCACTTCTACAGCTGACCAGACAGTTAAAACTGTATTACCAGAGTGGATGTTTTACAAGACTGTTTCAGAGCAGGACAACATAATTGCAATAAGAATGAAACATGCTGCAAGTGTTCTGACGGTGTGTATTGGAGAGGCTAGAGTGATGATGTCGTCGCTAGAGTGGACAGCTCCTCTTGGATCGACAAAACCTAGCTCGAATATATCGCTACCACGCCCACAAATTTCACTCCACAGCCAAAAAAATACATCGAAATGGAGGTATATGTGTCCTGCTTCTCACAAAAGAGGTTTCAAATCATTAAATCGTACCCTTGGCCAGCAGGTGACCCTTGCACACGCCCTAATGTAATTTTTCTCGTAAAATTTGGTACAGTGATGGCAAAACTTGCTGTCACTCTTCATCTCAAAAATCAAAGCCGTAGGACACACACAGTGGCCTGGGCAGACACCAACTGCCACAGACATCCCCCAAATTTCTCCAGCTTTCTCCATTGACTCCAATGTAAACCTGAGAGGAGGATTTTCAGAGGAAACACAAACTGGACATGCTTTTCAACTTGTCCTAGTTAAGACATTTTTGGCTTCACAAAGACAAAGAAATTATATCAACGTGTTCAGCCGGGACTTGTGGGTCTTACAAACTCGTTATCATGAAGATAGCAGCTACAGAGGAAGAGCATTAGGGCGTTGTTTAGGCATTGCTCTCTCAGCTTCAAGCCCCCTTTCTCCTGCTGTAGTGATGCATCTACCTTCACCATGGCAACCAATTAGAGCACCTGGAGACAAACAGCTGACTGAAAAGCTGCTTCTAATGGCCATATGAGACACATGAAACCAGGCTCAGTACACAGAGTACTGGGGATTACGTTTAAAACCCTTCACTAGAGTTATTTGACAAACATCGTAATCTATCCCTTCCCACAAACTTTGAGCTACAGAAACCATCCAGGGCTAAATAAATTCAGTTCATTGAGGACATTATGGGATGCATTCAGGATTTTTTTTTTTTTTAATTTTTTTCCACACTAGATTCAACTTTAATATTCATGCATTATTTAATTCTTCAAACAAATTAAAAATTATTCAAACTGATTTAAATGTTTTTGATACTTCTAATACTTTAAGATTTTTAATCGTTTTAATTTCCATGTTTTAAATCATTTAACGATTTATACATCATTTTATGCAAACAAATTCAAACTCATTTGAACTGATTCAAACCTTTCTTATACTTCAGGATTTTTAATCATTTTAATTTTCCACACACTGATTTTTTTTTAACAATTTATGCACTATTCAATGAATTCATCCAAATCATTCAAAACAATTCAAAGCTTCCTCAAAATTCAAACATTCTTATCTTTCATAGACTTTCAAAATTCAGCCATTCGCAATAGCAGTTAAGCCATAGCAATTTCAAACAGAGCAATCCCACTCGCAATTTCTTCAGAAATTGCATTTTCTAGTTACTTTTAACACTGTGATGTCCGGGCATTACAGTAAATAGGTATGAAATATTTACGCATCTTTGCTCTCAAAAAGTCTCACCTTTTTTTACCCTCAGGTGTGCATACAGTCATAAATCTTGATATGAATAAACATGAATAAAGACACCTGATACCACAGTGGCTTTGGTCACCAAGAGAAGACTGTCATTGTTGCAGTGGGCAAAAAAATCAATACAATTACAGTTTTATTTCAATTTTATACAGCAGAAATTAATGAGATGCAGAAAATCAAATGCTACAACAGGCAAGCAAGTATATAAACAATACAAAAATCACAAAACAAGGAGTGCCCCAGAACCTAATCAAAGAAGTCACTTAGTTCATTAGTCTGCGAAAGATTCCGGCTTTGGAGTATCTGTTAAGACAGGGTGTCTGGTCAGGACAGGAAATTATTTTTGGCAACATATTTTAAAGATTTCATATTAGCACAAGTTTAAATCCTCGACCTTGAGAAAGAAGATCTTTTCTAATAAAGTTCAACTTTTTTTGCACCGTGGAGTTATACCTGAAGAGGAGAGGTGTAAGTGTATAAAAGTTGAAGCAGCATAAATCTAAATTAATGACAGAAATTGACACAGTGAGCCTGCCGAGTGTCTCACCCGCCTGGTAGCCTGCAGTCTGCTGTAAAGATTCTCTTTATACTGACTGGGATTTTGAAGTCTGCAGGGAACCTTGTTGATAAGCTGTGAACCTGCTTTGAATATGAATTATTTCAGCCTGAGCAGAAAGGCATAGGTGGCTCATTTACACTGACTTAGCTTATTGGAGGATGTGTGGGTTTGAATAATTTTGCATCACATTACATCATTTTCTGTAAATCAGCCTTCACTTATCATTAGAAAGGCTGAGCTGATGATTATGTTTAGAGCCCGTCCATTGTAGCTCCAGCTGTCCAATTTTTATCAGCTTTAAACACAACAAAAGCCAAACAAATCCCCAAGAGTTTGGACTGAAGAGCAAATCCAGGACTACCTTCAAAGTGCATCCATTTTTCTAACATCTAAGGCACTGTCTGCAACATCAAAGAAATACTCATTTGTATTCAGTCGGATTCAAATCATTTTATTTTTATTTATTTTTATTTTTATTTATTTATTTTTTACCAGAGAGTGTTTTCAGACCAGTATTTTTGCTTTTGTGCCAGGTTAATTTAAAATAACCTGAGTTATTTTCCTCAAATAATAACCATCAGCAAAGTTTCACAATAAAGGTGGGGATGTTGGCATAATCGATGGACGTGTTTTCAGTACACTAAGAAATTCCGAAGGTGTTTTCCCTAAACACATAACAGGTTGTTTCATGACTACAAAGATGTGTAAAATGTAACACTCTGACTTGATTTCAGCCAAAAATGAAGCGCGTCAGGCAGAGGCTGATCACTGCTAAAATAGGGCTTTTCAATGATACATAAGGAGCTTTTTGGTCTGCAAATTTCAAAGAGCTACTAAAAAAAGTATCTCAGGCTGAGGTATGAAAAGTGAGAATGGGTTTAGATAGATCTCTTTCAACAAAAAGACATAATAATATTCAAAAAAGCTTTTGGCAAATATGGGCTCTTATTTCCCCCAAAACTGAACTGAGTTTGGTCCTTAGTTTGAAAAATCATGTAAATAGGCTCATCATCTTGTTCCTGCCATCCATCCACTTCCCATTGCACTGTTATAACTGAGAGGATTGTGCTGTATTGTTTTCATTGTATCCCACAAACAATGTCTTTCAATCTGACTGGGTGATGTGAGTTGAATGTGCTCCAGATAGGTCCTTGACTTTAGCTTGTAATGATAAATTCTGGATGGCTCAGGTGCTATGAATCAATCTGGAGAAGGACAAGAGTTTAAAACAAACAAAGACTGAAAGGGCCTGGTCTCTCTTTTTTTTCTCCAAAAGAACATGATCTAACAGATTTTCATCCCTCTTCAATCTGAAAGGAGTTCAGTCCAGGCTTTTTTTATCTTTACAAAAGCTAATGATTAACACTCATGTCTTCATCTCTCCTCCCTTCAGCAAATCTGTTATCTGGAACTGCAAGACAGGCAGGTGAGAAAATGCCAATGGCCTCCAGACAACGTATTGATCAGCAGTACAATTAAAAGTGAGCCAGAGAGGCCTTGAGTAAAAGGCTTCACACTGTCGTAAATATGAGGCAGCTGATATGAGAAAGTGTTTTTTAATATCATTCTGTGCACGCTGCCAACCTTTACCTTGATCTATTAGTATTAAACTTGTTAACAGTTAGTACATTAGCCACAGAGGATCCTGATATCAAGTGTACGCAAGATGCATGGGTTGAAACTCCAATGGCACAAATAGTAACATAAAACTTTATAAAGGTTTTCTTTTACAACAGATGTTACCCTTCATTACTTTGCTTTACTGGCAGAAAGCTCTTCGGTTTTTGCACTATTGCAAATGCATGTTCTTCTGCCTGCAGTGTATGATGCTATAGAAGTCACAGAGAAGTTGTTGATTTTGAAACTTTTACTTCTCAGTTAGACTGTATTTGATAATATTTTTGTTTCTTTTGAAGCTTGCAGACCCAAACAAATTATCTGGGCTTTGTAGGAGGAGAAATATGTACAGTATGTGCTGCAACCAAATATAATGCAAAAACAAAATTTTGAGTATGCGCTTACATCAACAATGCTTTTTTTTTTTTTTTTTTTTTATAGTTTGAGTTTGTTAAAATGAGATAACTCCAGCTGACCCCATCTGTAGTCACTGATATCTTAGCTCCTGTTCCACTGCTCCAGTAATTTCTCAACAATAGGGTTTGGCTGTTTGGGATACTTTGTGGCTATTTCAAATGTTCTTCCGTCACCCCGCTGTAGTCCGTAATGGACTGGCCCGAGGTCTCGCTACAAACAAGCGGCTGCTGGAAGAGAGTAGGTGAGTTGTGTTTAGTCTCTTTGCCAAAGAAATTAGGCAAAGCTAAAAAGATGTTTGATGGCTAGTACGATGACTGGGACCCTGTATGTACTGTTGATGAAGTTAGGTACTGTTCTGGGCATTATTTGTGGCTGTAGAGTGGCTTTTTGGTTGAGGTTTGTTTATGGCTCTTCAGACCACTGTGTATTGCTATCGTCTGGTCGTTACTAAAGTTGGTCTAACTGGAGAAGCAAGCAGTCTGCAATATCTATCTCTCGAGGGGGTGTCTAACTCGGTGTTACGGTGTGTTTGATCCTAAATTAATTTTACACCAGAATATCCCTTTAATATTGACAAATACCTCCTCCAAATTAACTCTAAAAAAGGAACTATCCCTTTAAAATGCGGAATGAGTTTGCCAATTTAGGTGTAGCCATCTTGTTAGGAATACAAAAAGAGTCTGGTTCAAACTCGAGGATTTTCTTCGGTCTACAGTGATAGTTTAACGCTAAACACCACAGGATGTTTGATTCACACCAAGAGGAAACAACAACATTATCTTAGGATCATATGAGCCCCGTTGTCTGAGAAATTAATTGAAACCGACCTGATGTAGATGCTGTCTTCCCCCATCAGCCTGCTGTTTCATCAACCTGTCCTTTCCTTTTATTCACCCCCTGTGCTCCTGCTTCACCATCCTTCCCCTGCCTCTAAAAGACGTTCCTCTATCCCATCACATGCCTTCAAGTGCTCTTTTCCATTATGCTGATTCTGCCCTTTTCCTGCTCTCTGTCCCCCCCTTTCCTCACTCTTTCTTCCATCCTGGCCACCTAGTGTTAATCTGTCTATACACACCGTCCGCTGAGAGAGCAATTAACCTGATCAAAACTCGCTGTTGCCGAGATCAAACATGTTTCAGCAGGAAGGGTGTAGAGAGAATCACACAGAGAGATGAGCTCGGGAATCAGGGGAGAGGCAGAAATGATAGTTTTGAGGTGAAGGGGAGGAGAAGTTGGACAGGACCATCTGGCAGGTCTTCAAGTGGCCATGGCTGTGAAAACATTCAAACAGTTTTTAAATAGCCGAGTGACTCATTGATCTTCTCATGCACACACCTCACACTGCGGCTCATCAGACCTCAGCACGACTGCTGCTGCGATCTCATCTCAGCCCCTCCGGCCTGTGAGGGATTAAACTCTTAATCTGCCAGACTAAGGCTTGCTATTAGTACCAACAGGGCTGCAGCTATCTTTGTTTGTTTTCTCAAAAGTGTGTTTTCATGTGTGTGTGTGCTGGCTTGTGGTTTACAGCATTGTGGTGTGTTTGCCTGTGTGTGTGAGATGGATGGTTAGCAGCTGCAGGTATTGGTGTGTGTGATATTAATAAAAAACAATGAGGCGGGGACACAGAGGGAGTGCTGGGGGTGGTAAAACACATAAATAAGTTAACTTTATCAATGTTGGAGGTGCTCCCTATCTGCCACCTGTGCAAAAATACAGACATGTGAGTGAGTGTGTGTGTGCATGTGAGACAGTGAATGAGAAAATGACAGACAGAATTAAAAAGGCATATTGCATTACTGTCTCAGTGAGGCAGATTGCCGGGTACATAATCCATTCAGCTGTGACTGAATCGTCGTCTCCTTTGTGAGGCAGAAAAAAAGCTGACGGGGAGCGAACAGCGAGCATGTGTGATCAGTCTCATGTTGCATACACTAACCAGCCCTGGGCACAAGCTGCCCTGCAGGTTAATGAATAGTGATGGAAGGATTCAATAAGCCGAACATGTATATTCACACACACACACACACACACACACACACACACACACACAGTGACCTCCACCTCTTCCGTTTCCTTCTACTCACTCACTAATGTGTTGTTTGCTCCGTTAGCAGCCATAAGGACCCCAGCAAAGTGTTCGCTTGTTTTAGTCATTCCCTCAGGCACAGGCAACTTAATGAGCTGCCTCTCAAGGACAAAGTGGATGCATAAGGCCAGAGACAGAGACAGATCTGCAAGCATGATGATACATTCCCTGTGAACTTTCACCCTGTTCAGATTTTACTTTCAGCCGTGCCGGGGCAGCAGCTTGCGTTGATCAGTTGTGGTTTTCAAAGTCAGGCCTGAACACTGAGGTGAGTTTGTTTAAAACAGCAACAAGTTCAACCAGCTGTTCAGTGTCACGCAGATTTATCACTTTCTTCCTCTTTTTCTCCTCTATCTGTGATGTTCATTGTCTCTGACTTTATTTGTCCTGGTGAACATCTGCATTGCACCATAAAAGTAAGAAAGACACAGCTGTTGTAAGTTACATGTAACTTCTGATAAAAAAGTTACTTGCTCATGTTTATTGCTAAAGATCTCAGGTATAAGCGTCCAGTGGTGGATAGTCGCAGAAAAAAATTACTTTGGTACTGTGCTTGTGTCCAAATTACTTTTATTCCACTTATGCTGTACTTCTGACCCCACTACATTCCTATGAGTGTTCGTTAAGGCTGGGACGATATGCTTTTCTCACGATTCGATTCTTGTATGATTTTTTGGATGCCGATTCGATTTAAATTGCAATTCTGCGATATTGTTGATTTTCTCAATTTTTAGTCTGCTTTTTTTACACCAGTGAAATAGTTGATGATTATGACTCTGACTACTGACTATTCCAGAACCATATTTTCCCAAAAAATACACATCACATGTAAGTCAGCTGTTAAGATTTATTCTTAAATTTAATTAAAAAAAAAGAAAGAAATCGATCTTTGAACATAAAAATCAATTTAAAATTGTAAAACAAAAAATCGCAATACTTCTGTGAATCCACTTTTTCTCCCACCCTTAGTGTTCATGTTACTTACAATTTTCTCTCTGAAGTCAGCTGATAAATGTTCCTTTTTGTTCAGATGGTAAACTGTGTTCATGTATCTCTGGATACAATTTGTCCAAGTAGTCTCCTTCGCTGAACATAGAGAAAACACCACGTAGATCAGGCAGGTGGTCATTGATGGCCACAGCGGAGGAGGACAAATTCTGCACCTGAGCACCCATGACCATATGTTAGCCCGTGTTTGAGGATTTTACCACGATGAATGATCTATGTCGCTGTAAAATTCCCCGTTCAACCTTGGCAAGCATGTTGAAGTTTTGAAATATGAAGTCACTTTGTTTGACACCTACCCCTTTTGCAGCATTGGCATTATAATGAACATATGATCTGTTTTATTGAGAATAGTCTTGTTTGTTTTTGTAGATCATGATAAGGTTTTACTCTTAATTTCAATCTGTTTCAAAACCAGTCAAAAACTCCTCACAGAAGCTTTAACTCAAGTTTTGATCTTATATTACTATTATTTTTAACTTTTTTGTGTCCATACTTTGACTAATGGTCAAAGGTGTGGGCTTTGTACAACATCACACATGTGTCTGAAAGGCACTGCTTATGTCAGCAACATACAACTTCTAGTGATGTATTTACAGAAACAAACATAAACATTTCCACAATTTTATTAATGGGTAAATATGAAAGGTGTAAAAAGACCATTTTCCCAACACATTTAAGATTTAACAGTAAACTACTCTGACCAATGATTTTTATTCAGACCTTCAGGCATCATATTTATGAATCATGATAATTTATTCTAAATCGACGTGATCTAGTTTTAATATAGTGTTGCCAACGACCTCGACCACACGTATTTACATGTGTGCCTTTAGGATACTGTCTCATTTATTTTGTCTCCCTTACATAACTATAAATATATATTTTTCCTTTTCATGAATAAAGGCGTTTTGACATCCCACTCAAACTGTCTGCAAATTTTGGACTCTTCCCTGCAGACTGAAGCGACCTTTACAGAAGGTAATTTGGGAGGTAACCGCGCCCCCTGTTGCGCGTAAAGCGATAATAAGAGAAGGAAACGTGGATGAAAGCGTCTCCTCAGTGTCCTTGAATTTCAGAATATCTTGGAGGGAAAGCGAGTCCGGACGGACACGCTGCTCATGCAATTCTGGTAAAATGTCTCCTACCTCTCTTTCACTCTTGTTTTTATCACTGCGCCTGTTCTCACCTTTACGCTTGAACTTGAACTTGGGAACTGGGAGCCTTCTATGTTGCGCACCACGACTCCCCCCCTCCC